TATATCTCTCTCTCTCTCTCTCTTGCAGATAGAGAGACAAAGACACAGAGAGAGAGAGAGCGAGAGAGAGACAGAGACCGAGACCGAGACCAGACAGAGAGAGAAGGAGAAGGAGAGACAGAGAGAGAGAGACAGAGAGAGAGAGAGACAGAGAGAGAGAGAGAGAGAGAGAGATGTGTGTGTGTGTGTACATATATATGTATATGTATATATATATATCTGTATTTGGAAAATGTCCCTAACGTTTCAGATGACCTCAGCTGACGAGGCAGCGACTCATGCCACTCATCACCTGCTCCAGTCAGCCCAAATAAGACGCAGCTCTTCAGTGCTTCAGGTTTACGGTTTAGGGCTTGGGATGTAAGGTACAGGGTTCTGGGTTTACCACGGCTTTGTGCTTGAGGCCTTCAGTCTTGATAAAAGGGTTGGGGATTCCGGGACCTAGCCCCATGAACTTCTAGAAGGATCCCTTCATGTTCTCTTAGAATACCAAAATCCTAAACTCTAAACCCTAAGACTCCTGGAGAGTCACAGGGGACTGACGGCCTGCTCCGATGCCCATGCCGGACTGGACCTGGGCGTACATCGCAATGTTTAGGATCCAGTGTAGGAAGGAGAAGAATTTCTTGAGGATACTTGGTAGTTTCCCAAAATTAGGGGTACCATCTTGGGGGTCCCTATAATAAGGACTATAGTATTTGGGGGTCTATATTGGGGTCTCCCTATTTTGGGAAACTACCACTTGGTGGCATAAGCTGCATCCCTTCGGGGCAAGAATGGGCCTTGCGTGCTGAGACATAGCAAAGATGACGTAACCATGGCACTTCATGCAGCTACATTCTGAAACAGCACAGCTCCCATGTGCTCTCCGAAATTGGGGTGCTCCGAACTGTATACAAGAGAATGAGCCAAGACCTAGCACCTTTCCAACGCGAGCTCCCCCTTGCAAATTGGACATGTGCATGTCTGAGGCCGCGCACTCCGTTTGCACGAAGGCCTCTGGACTAAACTGTCAAGCCAGGGATACGCCAAGCATGACGGCACTTTCTGTCATTCTGCTTCTGTGCCTGTTATCACTCACAATCTAGCTACAAGCACTCCCACAGCACATCAACATCATTGTTGTCCCTTGCGGAGGACGTTTAGGGTTGAGGGCAGTCATGTCAACCATGATGAACGACCCAGACAAGGAAGTCGGAAGTCGAAGAGTTGTCATACTTCTACCCGCAGACACGTAGGCAGAATACAACTGTGAAAAAATAGTAAACGCCCATCTCACTGGGAGATTGCTCATACAATTTGGTAGGGGAACTACAACGACTATAGCAGGAACGATCCTGGTAGGGAGGCCTTCCTGTTCGTAATGGAAATGGCGTGGTTGGATGAGATTCCTACCGCAGCCCCCCTAAAACTCTATGTAAACTCAGTTCCTATTTAATGTTCTGATATCTTTTCCGTTTGATCCTCCATGATTGGGCTAATATTCCAAAGCCCTAGACCCCAAACCCTAAATCCTAAGCTTTACACATCAAATATCCTAACCCCTAAATTCTAAATCTTACATCCTAAACCTTAAGCATTAAGTACCCCCAACCCAAAACCCTAAACCGTAAACCCTGAATCCCACACACCCGCTTAAGGCTCTGCCTGCTTCTGCTCGCTGGTCCGACGCCTTCGTTTCTTCGCCTCCTCCTTGGCCTTCTGCAAGTCGGTAACGCTCCTGTGGGTTTAAGGTTTACGGTTTAGGGTGTAATGTGGGGTCCTGATTAGTGTAGGGGGGCCCCCCCCACCCCCTCCCCAAACAAAAATGGGAGCCCATTTAGTGAGGGGGCCCCCCAAACATTCCACGGTTTTTAGGTTTTAATTGAAATTCGATAGGAGGGATCAGGATCGGCTCGGATCCGCGGTTTAAATTAAGTTCAACAGGATGGATAAGGATCGGCTCGGATCCGAGGTTTAAATTAAATTCAAAAGGATTGATCAGGATCGGCTCGGATCCTCAGAACCACGGGAGGCTTTGAGGGGCCATATTGAAGGTCCTTAATTTCTGCTTTTCTGGGTGCTTATTGTAAGGGGGGGAAGAGGGCGGACCCCCAACACTAATGGTAGTTTCCATGTTCTTTTTCATTTCTCCATTCCCTACTAGCCAGTAGCAAGCAACTCAATCCTGTGCTGCTTGCCCAAGTAGACCTGGCTCTTTACAAAGGAGGTCGTCAGCGAGGCGGTGAGTGAACTTGAGAGAAACTTCTTCTCGCGCTCCAAGCGATACACCGTCTCTTGCAACTCCGAGTTGCGAGCCTCATTAGACTGCTAGTCTGAGAAGACATTGAACAGAGGGGAGGCGCGCATCTCACTTACAACTCATAACTAACAACCATGACAGGCCAGAAAGATGATAACCGCACTTTAAGGAACCTTACACTTTGTGTCAGAGTTGCGAGCATGCGCCAACACTTCCGCGCCTCAAGCTCCGCAACCCTGGCAGACATGGCCTCCGCTGGGTCGGGTTCCCCGGGAGTCGGCTCCGACTCAATGAGATCCGGCTCCGGGTCCTGGGGAGCTTCCGTCTCATGGGGCTTCATGGCTTCCTCCTGGTCATTTTGGGTGGGGCCTTGCTCCAAAGGGGAGTCACCCGCTTGTGGCTTGGCTGGGACCTCCTCAATTGGTGGCGTCTGCCTCTCCTGCTCTGGAGCTTGCGCTTCAACGTCAAGCTTGGATGCACTGGCAAGGCCATCTTCAGTCACCTCTCTTTCCTCTGCCTGGAGGTCTAGCGGCGCAGGCGTGCAAGCTTCCTTTTCCTGTGCCGGCACTTCATCGCAGACCTGTGAGTCTTTCTCCTTATCCTCCTTATCCTCCTCATCATTCTTCCTCTCTTTCAGATCCACGACCTTCTCCCCAACATCTGCATCCTCCACATCCTGCAGTGCTAGGACCTCCTGGGCTGCTGGGGGCTGAGGCTCCTCTGGAGCCTCTGGGCTTTTTTTCGGGTGGGGATTCGGCAAATTCACCTCCAGGATGTCCCCTGGCCTGCAGCCCTCGGGCACGGTGATCTCCATCTCAGCGCTCCTAGATTACTTAGATGGGTTTAGGGTTTAGGGTTTAGGGTGGTATGTTTTCTGAAAGAATTCACTGACAATACACAAACCTACTGATTCTTAGCTGGGAATAAGGGAATAGAATCCCTATGTAGTATACTCCCTTTTCCCTAGAAACAACCAGCCAGCAACATTGTCACTTGCATCATGATCTAGATTCCCTCGGTTCACGGTTAGGACATCACCTGGACGGCAGCCTGGAGGAACCAGCAATTCCACCTGTTCACACTGCCGCAGCTCATCCGATGTTAGCTGCCCAGGCCCATGCAGGCCACCGACTTCCGGCCGAAAGAGCACGACTGCGGGCTCTGCGTCCGTGAAGGTCACATGCTTGTGATCCTTTGGGTCACCCGCTGCCTCAGCCATGAGCTCACCTTCTGGCAAGGAGTTCTCCTGGCCCCCGGATCCAGCCACAGAGTCCTCGGCAGGCTTGGACCCAGCATGGCCTGCAAGAGACTCTGCAGGTACCTCCAGCTCCAGCACGTCATGGGCCTTCTTACCATTTGGCACCGTGACTTCAAAAAGCACCCCGTCCAAGTCAACCTCGAAGATGTCACCGTCCCCGCAGCCTTCCGGCACCGTGACCTGATGGGACACACCATCTTAGTTTCCATCTCACTTTCTATTTGATTCTCCATGGGTATTACATCCCTATACCCTAGACCCTAGACCCTAAACCCTATACTTCACCCTTGACAGTGCTCTTGGAGGGTTTAGGGCTTAGGGTAGGTAGCTCACCTCTGCGCGGATCCAGGTAGCCGAGGACATCGTCTCTTGTGGAATTTTCGGCTCGGCCTCTTGTGTCCAGTCCCAGACCTGGAGATTTCTCAACATGGGGGGCCCTTGAGGATGTTAGAGTTTAGGTATGTGGGGGTTTGGGGTTTAGGGTTTAAGGATGTTCTATATATATATATATATATGTATAAGGTTTTTGGTTTCAAGGATGTTCTATATGTATATATATATATATATATGTAAGGTTTTTTGGGTTTAAGGATGTTCTATATATATATATATAGAAGGATTATAAGGGAATTATGTGGATCCTTATTGGGGGCTACAGGAGAAAAGAAGCTCCCACCTCTGAAGACTCATCAGAGGAGTTGGAACTTGACATCTCCTCTGAAGGAGACCTGCCATCACGTTACTGCTCGAGCAGCTGAGCACAATACCTATTCTAAGTACCAGTGCTGTGTCACTACTTTGTTTCTTGCACCGACTACTATCAAAATGAGCATTTGTGATGATTTCCATCTTCTTTTCCATTATCCCTATATAGCCCCCATATAACCCCAATATTACCC